ATTAATTAGCATCGATAAATTGAAAAAATGCATTAAATTATTAAAATGGAAGTAGGACATCAGAAATTGGCAACAGTACCATAAAATTTCTACCTCGGAGGTAGAACAACCAGAAACAGGGCACAGAAGTGTGGACTGCATTTCAACGTCTTTATAGAAAGACAGATAGACATATATGTAGAAGTACAAACTTGGGTATATAAATTCGTCTCATATATGTGTGATTTATGTTGTATTCAAAGTATCTTACTACCTTGACAAATTTGATATATCATATTTTCACAATTGTTTGTATTGAAGTGTATAAAAAAAGTACCCCTAACATACTTTTTTATTTTATTTAAAAATAAATATTTATAGTTCATTAAACTACAGAGAAGCAAAAAAAAAGTATATTTTAAACAGGCTTTGGCTTTTTCCGTTGTTAGTTTTTGCTTATTAAAATTTTGTCATAACATTTTTAAAACATTTAGAGTGAAAAAACTAGTTTTGTGATGAGATATTTTAGATTTGTTTATAAAAAATAGCTATATAGTTTTTTTTTAATTAAACTATAGGGAATGCATAAAAATCATTAATTTTTTACATTTTTCTGGATAGAATTTAACAAAAAAAAAAAAACCATAAATACTATAATACTCTGTTGTTATAAAAAAACAAAAACAATAACTAAAAATTAAATTATTGTTTAATTATTTTAATTATTATTTCAAATTTTTAAATATTTTTCGATCGTAACAATATTATGGAAATCAGCATTTTATACTTCGTTCACTATTCACCCAGTTTTATTTTAATTATTATTGTTTTATTTTATGTACCGTAGACAATAAAACAGATTTCTACAAAAACAAAATTATAAACTATAATTTTTATTTTTATTTGTAGTTTTTTATTAAAAATCTTCACTGAAAACAAATCGAAGCCCGATTTTTGCTTGCAGACGAACGCTTTGCAAATTCGCGTGCCAAATCGCTACTGATGCCAACCGTAGACACCAGCAACGAAATGAACTCCCACAGAATAAGTCGACGTAGCAGCCATCGTCAGCGTCGTCTGGGGCGAAGCAAGTTGGATGCGGAGTACTACTAAAGGCGGCGTGAGCACAACGAACTGAGAGCGAAGACCGGTACAGAAACGCATACAGAAACTCATATGAACACAAACTCATAGTAAAAAATCTTTTGTCTGAAACGCGTTCAGGGTATTCACTGCTGACTCATTCGCTTGAGCAGAAAGATACACATATGCCAAATGGGATATGTATATGGGATTTCTGGAACGCATCTGCAGCAACAGCTCAGCTGAGTTAAGCACGAAATGCTGCTGATTCGTTCAAAACTTAAGTAGACCCTTAAGAGCAGCATAAGCAACACTTCTGAGTTGGTGAAAATTCAAGGTAATTTGTTGCAGTTTTGTTTTGGCTTAACACGTAACAACATTTGGTAAAAAAAAAACAAATAAAAAAAATTATTTAAAAATAAAATTTGTTTACGTGCAGTAAACAAATTGCAAAAAAACCAATCCAAGACCCGCAACTGGCGCACGTAATCTGTGGCAAATGTGGGCGGCATTTGTAGTTTTTCCAAAAATTAAATCAACTTCCGCAATGGCTTTCGATTTTCCACTCGTACGACACCAACAACAACCGGGCAAAATTGCATTAAGTCACACTTGCAACATGCAACGACGCAGTCAACATTCGAATACATAATATTTTGCACATCAAGGAAGTGCAAGCGATATATTACTCAACCGAACACAAAGAACAACGGAGCAGCACATGCCTTTGTGCCACTACAGACTTTTTCAGTACAACTTTTGTTTATTAATTTTGTTTATTTATTTAATTATTTATGAATTTTTTCCAAAATATTTATTTACATTTCATACTTCAATAATACAAATTTAAATTAATTGAAAAAAAAATGTTTGCTCATCATTTTATCTGACCACAGATCACAAAATTCTAACAATATTTTTTATTAAATTAGTATTTAACCAGCCATTACGCACTTCCAGGAAACCGGAAACAATTATCTTAAAGAGATTCATAGGTTGGTCCGGTATAGAATATCATTATGTACACTTCAATGTAGCAGGTTTGATAGTCACGGTACTAACAAGTATTGCATGAAATGGTAATGAAGCTTGGACTACGTCTTCATACATCAACATTTACCTTATGAACGAATAATGTACTCATTAACAGCAGTAGCATTCAGAAATCAAATCGGACACCAATCAAGTGAATGCATATCACTCAAGTGATATCACTATCACACTATCAAAATGATAATCGATAAGCTCAAACATCAGATTTAACTTTTGTAAACAAATATATGACTTCCTTTCTAAAGCAAATTATTACACACCTAATACTATAGGTGTGTATATATATACATAATCTAAGATATGTAATCTGAGATTTAAATAAACTATTACTATTTTGATTTAAATAATTTTATTTAGCCCACTTAATATATGTAAGATTCAACGGTCTGGTAGCTTCAAAATCAAATCGGACACCAATCAAGTGAATGCATATCACTTAAGTGATATCACTATCACACTATCAAAATGATAATCGATAAGCTCAAACATCAGATTTAACTTTTGTAAACAACTATATGACTTCCTTTCTAAAGCAAATTATTACACACCTAATACTATAGGTGTTTATATATATACATAATCTAAGATATGTAATCTGAGATTTAAATAAACTATTACTACTTTGATTTAAATAATTTGACTATCAAAAGCTATACAATAATTGTATATGCGTTATCTTAATGCATATTTCATACTTTATTCTTATATTTCGTACTTTTAGTTCAAAAATTATATACCCAATTGGTTAGGTTAGATTATACCGGTTAACCCTAGTGGATCCACTTAGACCTTTTGGTCTATTGTGCTACCGTATATAGAATAAACTCAGGGTTTAACACCATTTAGAACCTTTAGCAAAACTTAGAATGCTGTTTAGTGGGAGGTCTTGTAATTTATCAAGATCTTCAAGAATGAGGACACCTAAAGTGTTGAGTCGCCACTGTGTATGAGCTGGGCAAAGACCATATATTTCTAAAGAACCCTGGTGATAAATACTTGACAATATTCCAAAATATTCGAAAAAGATCTTCTATTCCAAAAAGTATGTATTGATGATAACGCTGTGCAAAATTTAGTCCTTGATTTTTCAATTTCAGGCTGCTGTACTCAAATTTGTCAGATAAGACTAAGGTTTAGATAGAATTAACAATTGACCAAAAGTTGTTTTCGATTCTCACAAATATTCATTATTATTGATTTATTATTTAAATTAATTATCGTATATATTGTATTAAACTACCAGTGACAAGAATCGATATTTTTGATGAACCAGAAGAACAATGACGATTTCATTTCTAGTCTGAGAGCTAATTCCGATTCTACTCCGCACAATACCATACATATGTGTAACTAACTAATCGGAAATCAATTTAACTTACACCTACATTACCTACAATATAACCTTCCTTTATTTAACGTTATTAACCTTACATTATATAAAATGAAGTTTTTTCCTCTTTACTCTTAACAAGAGTTATAGTTCTATTCCCTTTTAAAAATTGTTGAAGCTTTGAACTTTCGATGTGTACTAATATATATTTTGTTTACTTCGCTATATACTAGTATAATAAATAAAAAAATTGGTATAATGACAGTTGTTTGTAATAAAAAAAAAACTAATTGGTAATAATAATATAAAAACTGTTATTGAACTACACTGGAGATATCACGAAGTGAAACTTTAAATGGAAACTTTTCAAAACTCTATCGAATCCGTTCAATAGCTACTTATAATTTTTATAAATATATTATTTTCTTTCTTTTAATTATAAAGAGGTAGTTGGAATATGCATTATAGAAATATGTAATCAGAACTCATATTATAAATGACATTTATAGTTTTTTATATACAACAAAAGTATAAAAAAAAAAACAAAATGATCACGTATAGAAAAGCTAGATCTTATATTATACATCATTTAATCATTTAATTAAAAAGACGGAATAAATAATTTTTTTTAAATATATTTTTTGTGATGTATACAATAGATAAATATAGGAAGCAATAATTATATATTTATATATATTTTTATATACATATACCATAAATATATGTAAAATTAAAATAATTTTAATGTGAACGTTCTATTTTATAAATATTTGTGCTAAATAAGATCGTTTAATGAACTTCGGTACAATGCTTTCAAATTATAAATTTTCTATTTTAAATAAAAACGTGATTTTTTGAATCAAATGAGTCTTTCTTTTTGATATTTTATTTTCGAATGTATTATTTCTGCTCACATCATCCATAATTTGGTCTTTACTCAATTAATGACTGAGCAGCAAAAATGCAATAAAATTTACGCTTAGATTTCTCCAATTAGATACCTTAATATATAAAAACATTTATTAATTTTAAAATAAAAAATTAATATTACTGCACACACACATATACTATAAACCAATTAGAACTTAACACTAATTAAAGTTGTCACATTATTAACTCTATTAGACCTTAACTGACTTAGAAAATATAGTATATAAATTCCCTTACCAAAACAATTTGTTGCTCAAATAAATTGGATAATATCTTTATTGATAATTGAAAGACTATTTAGAACAGGTAAACCGAAAGGATATATTATCATTTTGGTAAATCTCGGATAGTGACAGAGTAGATCAGTACATTTATCTTCCTTCCCTGACTAGGAAA